TGCCCAATAGTGGATATGAAAGTTCGTGGGACCCAGCAGTTACTACGGCAGGACCTTTGTGTTTCACAGTCTGGCTACTTATGGCTCCACACACTTCAGGCAACAAGTTTCCCCATTTTCTGTGTTTCTTCATTTTGAGCTTCTGAGGCTGTGGTGTGCTTCCAGTTGGACTAATAGGAAAAGAAATGGCATTTGTGATGTGCTGTATCTTCCTGCCATGCCCAGCTGTCAGACAATAGGGTCTCCTGCAGACAAGTGTGCTACAGAGTGCAGGTCTTCCTGGTTTGAGAGAAACAACGTATTTCTCAATTTTACTGCCTTAAACTGTGTCTTTGGTTATCAACGCAGGCCACTCTTTTAACCTTTGTTCTGCTGTTTCTTCTGGTGCTTACACACACCCATTTCCATTCATACTTCGCTCATACCAATCGATATTTCAGTTTCGATCCCTGACAGCTGATTCAGCTTACTAAGGATTCGGGTGAATACCAGAGCCAGGGCAAACAAGAAGACATTACAGATGGAAGTAGAAGACAGCAGAGAGGAAGGTGTACAGGGATTACATTTTTAGCAGCAGCAAGAGGTTACATCAACCCAGCCACTTTTTCAGTGGTTTCTAACTTTAAGCAAATGGCTTGATATTTAGGGTTGGAATCACTCACTGCCCTGTGAAAAGAATACCGATTTGGGACTCCTTGATACAGTGATCCCTTCTGCCTCACCCAGTTGTGTTGTTTCACATAAACGGGTTCTGTTTGAAGCTGGTAAGGAAGTCAAGTATTTGGGCATTTGTATTTGCAAGATATTATACCAACAAACAGAATATATCCAGTAATGTTTCTGTGTTGGCTTTCCCTCAGGACTGATCCAAAACCCTTCTTAAGTGTATTTAAGTGTAGAATAGAAGATGCTTGCCAAGATTGTATTTGCAGCTTCTATCTGCTTGCAGTGCTTCACTTTACTTTCCTGCTCCATGCTGTTAATACTGTTCCAACAAACTACCCAGTAAAGCTCTTCTGCCCACATAGTTCAGATTTCTGAGTGAACTAATGCACAAATGCATGTTTTCACTGGAACTGGCTGAAAAACAGAAGACAAATAAATATAAGCAAATGACTGAAATGTTTGCCATGATTGTTAACTACTGTTTCAAGTTGGCAATACATTGCTGACTCACTGTTTTAATCATTTTCTACCTTGCCAGTCAGTCTTGAAACTACATTGAGTGTGGATCTGAGTTTTATCATCCTCAACAACGCGTTGACAACCTGAGAATGCATGTATGCATGACGAGAACATAAAACAGCCCAGAAGTATCAATTTACTTTTCTAAAGCTAGAACTGATGAGGAAAACTCCTCCTTCTACCTCTCCTTTTCTATTGCTTTTTTAAAATTACTTCATTTGTTCAAGTATCATAGCAAGGGGGAAATATACCCAATGAAAAGATTCTTCCATAACTTTCCCTTCAGCAAAGAAAAAGCAAAATCAGACTGTACCACCTGGGTCCCATTCCTTGAGGTGGTTGTCCTTCTATGACCTGAACAGTGATCGTGACTGCAACTGTGTAGTTTCACATACCTTTCAAATCAGGCAGTAGCACCAGGCAACACAGGCTGGCATTCACTTTATTTTCGAGGTTAACTTCCTGATCCAGAGGGAGTGGTCGATACTTACAGTGTCTTAAACATGCATTGCTGAAGACTTTGAGTGTGGAAGCTCATCTCAAATGGATTTAGTACTCAGCCCTCTCCCCATCTTTCCAATCCAGTATTTGCCATGTGTTCCCCCAGTCCCACAGACCCTCCCAAGCCCTACTTCAGCATTAACAGGAACCTGTCTCTTCTGGCTTCGCAACCTCTGCCTTGATCAGCAGCTGACTGCCAACCTGGTAATGGCACTGCTACATAAATGGGACTAGCTGGGACCCATACTTGATATATAGGAACCAATGACAACATTATACATGGAATTTCATCCCAGCAGCAGCTCATTGCTGAATCCAAACATCAGAAACAGCAACGAATCTGGCATTAAAAAAAAAAAAAAAAGAAAGAAAAAGAAAAAAGAACCCCCCACACCGCTTTCAATCACTTCTCATGTTATGGCAACAAAGCTGGTGAGGGGTCTAGAGCACAAGTGCATGAGGAGCGGCTGAGGGAACTGGGGTTGTTTAGGCTGGAGAAAAGGAGGCTGAGGGGAGACCTTATCGCTCCCTATGACTACCTGAAAGGAGGTTGCAGCGAGGTGGGGGTCGGTCTCTTCTCCCAGGTAACAGGTAATAGGACAAGAGGAAACGGCCTCAAGTTGGGCCAGGGGAGGTTTAGGATGGATATTAGTAAAAATTTTTTCACTGAAAGAGTTATCAAACACTGGAACAGGCTGCGCAGGGAAGCGGTGGAGTCGCCATCCCTGGAAGTATTTACAAGACGCGGTGCTGGGGGACATGGTTTAGTGGTGCTTTTGGCAGGGCTCGGTTCGTGGTTGGACTCGATGATCTTAAAGGTCCTTTCCGACCTAGACGACTCTTTGATCCTACTTGCTTCCT